GCCAGCCGCTGCCCGCCGCCCGCTGCGTGCGCCTCCGCGCCTCCGCGCCATGGCCGGCCTCAACTCCCTGGAGGCGGTGAAACGCAAGATCCAGGCCCTGCAGCAGCAGGCGGACGAGGCGGAGGACCGCGCGCAGGGCCTGCAGCGGGAGCTGGACGGCGAGCGGGAGCGGCGCGAGAAAGTGAGAGCCCGCGCCCTGGCCCCGCGCCCCGGCATCCCCCGGCCCAGGGCGCGCTCCTTTCTCCCCTTCTCCCCGCGCCGCCCGCTTCCCGCGCTCCCCGCCCGCCCTCGGCGGCCGCTACCCGCTTCTCCACCCCCCCCCCCGCGCCCCTTGTTAGCCCGCCTTCGCGCCCTCTGGCCTGGCGGCTCCCGGATCGCGGACCCGCAGCCCCCTCCCCCGGGCGGGCTGCTGAGACCCCCCTTTCTCCGCGGTCATCCTCCTTCCCCAGCCTGGGACGGGGGAGGGGGCGCCGCATCCGGATCGGGCGTGGTCGGCCGAGCGGGTAATGGGGGGATGGGGCCGAGGAGGACGCACGATGCTGGAGTGGGGAGGAGGTTGTGGGGGGCGCCGCACTGCCATCTGACTCTGGGCTGGCGCCGGGGTGCTGGGCGGGGGGTGGGGTGGGGGCCGGCGACTGGACCTTGGAGCGGGAAGTGAGAGTGGAAACATTGAGCTTCCATTGTCTGGGGTTGGACTAGCCAACTCGGACTCTGGGGGCGGGGTGGGGGGGCGTCGCACTTTCTCCCCTCTTACGCGGCTTCCCGGCTCCAGCTGAACTTTCCCAGCTGTTCCCAGGGGCGCGGCGGCGACGTGTCCGCCCCTGGCGGGGGGCGGAAGTTCAGCCCGGAGCCGCCGGCCTTTCCCTGCCCAGCTGGTCCCTTCGGGAGCGACCGGCGAGCGACGGCCGCGGGACCCCGCCTTTCTCCAAAAGAACTTAGGAATGTTAGCTCAGGGCCCTCGACCCAAGGTGGTTCGGTGTGCCTCCGCTGCATGCTGCGGGGCCTGAGACACATAATGGGGCCGACGGAGGAGGGCCCTCTTCGCCCTCCCTCAGTCCTCGGACTGCCCCTCGAGGCAGGACAGATGGTGGCAACCCCAGGGGCTGGGGAGAGATCCGGATTCTAACGCCATCTCCTACCACTTGGTACTTAACCCCCTAGCAGCATGTCTCCCCATCTGTAAAGCAGCCGTGACCATAATGCAGATCCCCTAGGATAGCTGGGAGGGTCCGGGGAGTAAGGGCACATAGTAGGTGCTCAATTCCTGGGCTGTTTTTCCTCCCCTCCCAGTCACCTCAGAAGAGCTCACAGTCTGATGGGTGTGAGGGGTACAAATAAGGCTGGATAGCATTGCAGAGGGGTTCAGTGTTCTGTTGTGGGAGCAGGACAGGGGAGCAACCCCCCCACCCCCGTGGGGTAGGCTTCAGAATGGAAGTCGAGCAGTCATTATTATAGAATAAGAGTTTGCTGGGAGAAGAGCCCTAGGTGTGCAAGAAAGTTGGAGAGGGTGGAAGCCCAGGGCCTGGGAAAGCTGGAGTGTTGAGGCTGAGGGTGGGGACCCCAGAAATGGAAAAGATGCCCAGGGTGTTGACAAGTCTGGAGAAGAGCCCCACACTGTCCCAGTGTTGGCCTGAGTGGAAGCATTTAGTCTTCCACTAGGGTTGCTCTGGCGTGAAGAGGCCTCAGAAACCTGGTGCAAGCCTCAAACAGTAGCTGGTTTGGCCTCTTTCACACAAGGAACCGGCAGAACCCTCCCTCTGATCTCATCCCAAGTCATCTCGCTGGAGGACAATTACTTCTGCTTAAATATGGCCCTCAGCTTCGAGCCAAGACTTAGGAGTAGGACCATCCAGTTGGGAGGAAAGATGTTTTTGGAAAGTTGTGGATTTCTTAAAAAGTTTGCTTTTCAAAGCATTCTCCTCTTGGTCAGGATGGGGAAGTCTGAAGAAAGTACTCGGAGAAAGGAACTGAGCCCTGGGTGGGGGGGGGGGGACCTTTCTCAAGTCTCTTGTGGAGAAAGCCAAGAGCCGGCGTGTGGCAGACTTCTGGGTCTGCCTCCCGACAGCTGGTTTCGTTTAGATTTTTGTGTGATTAACCGACATCTTCCTGTTCCTTTGCCACATGTATCTAGCAAGCCTCTTTTACCTTATAAGGGAAATCCTTTGTAGAGTGTAGAAGCTTTGATTGCAGGAAGGGGTGGAGCCCAAAATGACTAGCAGTGACTAGCAGTTTTTCAAAAATACATATATATGTATGCACGTCTATAGTCGTGTGTATAAGCGTTCTTTCAATTCCAGACAGTTGAAAATGTGCCAAAAGCATGGTTATCAGGATTCAGAATTCCCCACAGAAGGAAAGTCCACTTTCGTTTTTTAAAGACAACTCATGAATAAAGCACCTTTGTATGATCTTAAAACTCAATACCTTGACTGCTAATGGGGATGGGGTTACTTTGGGGGGGGGGTGATGAAAATGTTCCAGAATTAGGTCATGGTGTTGGTTATGCAGTTTTGCTAATGTACTAACTATTGGGGGGGAGATCCATTCCTGCCCCTGTTGCTGAAGGAGTTAAAATTCACGTTATTAAAAAGAATAAAAGGCACCCACTCGTTAGAAGGAGTGGGTGAGTTTCTTAAAATAGTTCATCGGTGGTTTTAATGTAGTCTCCAAATTGGTGTTTCAGAGGAAGTTGCGATCAGAAACACCTGTGGGAGTTTTCCCTCCATCTGCTGCTAAGACTCTGGAGCTGAGCAGTTTCCTGAGTCTCTGTTTTTCAGCATCTCTGGCCTCATTCTTCTACTCCATTTTTTTGCTGTATAAATTCAGGGGGTTGGGGGGAGGGGAGGAAGCAGTTTCCTACTAATTTTTATGGCCTTCCCAATTCAGAGATTGACTTGATAGGAAGAAGCCAGTGTAGCTTTATACGTCTTCCCTCGGTTGAGTCAAATTTCACCAACTCTTCAGTATTTCTCAAAGCCTCCACAAGACTCAGCAGCGTACAGACTCAGCCAGGGAAGAGCCATGGGCTGGGTTTCCTGAGGCCAGTTCTGTTGACACTGGACAGAACCACTGCCCCTAGCTGGACCTTTCCATTTCCCCGTCATAAAATACCGGAGGATTAAATGAGGTGAAATCATGGGGCTTCCCGCATGCCAGGTGCAATGCCACACCCTCAGTTATAGTCTTCACGGTGCTGGGGCTGGGATGGGGAGGCCCAGAGCAGTGAAGCAGCCTGCCCGGTGCCACGCGGCCACAAATTGGCAAAACAGGGATTCTGACCGAGTGCTTTTCGAGCCCAAAGTTCCTGCTTTCATGTACACCGCCATATTGTCTTCCTTGTAGGTGCAAATACCTTGAAAAGCCAGTGTCACCATTCAGACATCCCTTCCGTGCCTGTGACCACGTTTTCTTTCCTTTCCTCACTTAGATATTTTTGTCCCATCCTCTCTGGGCCAGACTTAGTTCAGGGCTGTGTTCTGACAGGTGCTGCCCCCGCTTCCCCACGTTGTGCAGCCAACATTTAACTGAGGCTTCCATACTCTTACATTTATCTTATCATTGAGGTGACTGGGAGCAGAGCTTTCTATATGCCAGGGTGAGCCAGGGCACTGGTGGCCTTACCCTCTAGGAATCCCAGAGAGGCCAGCACTGTCTTCTCCCAGCATGCGGTGTGCTTGGCACTCGACCGTGTTGACTTGACTGCCTGTCCTGTACTGGGATACACACCTTTCTCATTGAGTGGTGGATGTTCTCGGACGTTTTCGGGGGAAGAACATATGGAAAACTCACATTCTCCAGATGAGAGTGTGAATTCCTTACTGCCTGCATTCCCGGGTGGGCTCTGTCGGGCAGGGGGAGAGAGGGAAGTGTGTTAATGGAAGGAAGAATGCCATGTGAGTTGGGGATGCTGGGCTGGCCTTTCACTTCTTAAGCCGGCTGCACCTCTGACCTCCCCAGGCCGAAGGGGATGTGGCAGCTCTCAATCGACGCATCCAGCTTGTGGAGGAGGAGCTGGACAGGGCTCAGGAGCGACTGGCCACAGCCCTGCAGAAGCTGGAGGAGGCAGAAAAGGCTGCCGATGAGAGTGAGAGGTAAGCATGACCTGGCGGCATCAGCGTGTGCTTCTCAGAAGTGGGGGTGGTGCTGTGCGGCTGACCTCCCAGAGCCGGGGTGCGACTGAAGGAGAACTCCCAACTGGCAGAGAAAAATGTAAAAATGGGTAGATGTAAGCCTGTGAGTATGACTTGTCACTGGCCACCAGTTTGCAGAAGGCTGCTTTGCAGGTTCTCTGAGAGCCACTCTGCATCTCGCTGGTGTTCTCACGATACCAAGTTCCTGGGGGATGGGAGAGGAGGATGGGAGATGAAAACTTGGAATGGACCATTTGCACAGACGATTGTTAAGCCTGCTGGTCAGTGACAACTGTATGTCAGGGACACGTGCAAACCAGCACCATTAACAGACTTGAAACTGACAGCGCTCCTCACCTCGGTGGCATGCACTCCGCATTTGGGCCTCCAGCAGGATGGTCCGTCCTCCGGCGCAGGATAATTCATGCTTTGGCGCAGGCTCTGGAGGACTGAGGTCAGATTGTGTCATTCACAGAAGCAGCCGTCTCTGTGTGGTGGTAAATGGGCTCCTTGTGCGGTGATGGTGTGGGCCAGGCCAGTGGACATTGTGTATCTACCCCACGATCACACCAGGACGCTTGTTTCACCCGTCCGCCATGGTTTCCTGGTATGAAGTCCTCCAAAGGATTAATTTCTGATTGTGCTGTTGTGAGATTTAAAACCAACCCTGGAGATGGACTTCGCCTGTTGCCCCTTCGGGAAATTTCTTCCGGTGCAGTGTAGAACAGCCTGTGCCATGGGGGGGCCACAGCCCAGCAGAGGCTCTGCTTCAGCCACCAGGAAGTGTGAGGGACCCAGTCACAAGTTGCTCATGGCTGTGCCTGGATTAGCTGCTGCCCATGTTCACGGGCAGACTGGGCTGGCCAGACGTCCCGTCTCACCTCCAGGACCTCGCCAAACCCAGAAAGCCTGGGAAGGCCCCTCACTTCTTTGTGTCATATCACCGGAGGCCTTTGGCGACGCCCTTATTGGGAGACTGCTAGTTTTGGTAGAAAGAATTCTCTACTTGGGAACTGGAGAATCTAGATTCAAGTCCTTCCACAGCCGCTTACTTCACGTTGGGCAAGTCACTTGGATCTCTCCAGTGCTGCGAAGATTTCCCAAGCTTGCTTGGGTGCTGAGGTTAAGGCTTTGTACAGATGTGAAGGTGTCTTGACAGTGAGCTACGAACGCTAGCAACAAGACATGTATGGTCCTCCACTCTGGGCAGACATGACACACATCAATACGTTATCCTGGGTTGGCCTCTTGGGAGGTATCTGGTCTTACCTAGGGCGTTCCAAGCAGTGCAGGCCAGGGTGAGCAAGCTGTGCTGTAGATATCCAGTCATTTCCCCCCCCTCCCCCCCGGACACTTGTCCTTTCCAAACTAGACCTATCCAGTTCAGCTCCTCCTCACCCCTCACCTTGTGCATACCTGTCTCTTACCTGGTCTTCCCATGGCAGTCCCTTCGTCTTTCTGGTTTCTGTTCCCTCCTGTTTCTGAAACCCTCCTGTGGTTCCCTGTGTTCTCTTCTGGAAAGCCTCCCAGGACACATACACAGCTCCGCCCCCAGTGCAGTAGAATTCATCATTCCCACAGCCAGGCTGGCCCCGACCTCCATCACACTGTGGTAACTGTTGGCGTACAAGTACTTGTTACTGGTCAGTGAGAGGCCGTATAGGATGGGAGCATGGGCCCTGGAGCCAGATCACCAGGGTTTGAACCCCAGCTCTGCCACTTACGAGCTACACAACCTTGAGCAAGTTACTTGGCCTCTCTGTGCTTCCATTTCTTCGTCTGTAAAGTGGGGATGGTGTACCTCATAGGGCAGTTGTGAAGTTTGAGGCAAAGGGGAAGTGAATGAGAACCGCTCTACAATTTCCTCTTTGGAGCATGGTTCTTGGAGAGGAGTTTGGATGAGCAGACGTGTGGAGGTGTATGATGAGCCGTAATCGGTGTGTGGAGATAATGACGAGGCTGCTCCTTGCAGAGGAATGAAGGTGATAGAAAACCGGGCCATGAAAGATGAGGAGAAGATGGAGATTCAGGAGATGCAGCTCAAAGAGGCCAAGCACATCGCCGAGGAGGCCGACCGCAAATATGAGGAGGTCAGTGGGGCTGGTGGAGGGCAGCAGCAGGAAGTGGGGAGGAAATGGATCTGTGATAGGGAGGGCCCTGGGGCTGCCTAAAGGAAGCTTCTGGTTAGTTCAGCTGTCCTTCTGCGTCCCCATCTGTTCTTCCAGAGACGGCCACTTGGCTAGGAAACCATATCTTCCACGATGCCAGGAAGGCCTGGGGAATTCTGTGGCACTTGTCTAACTTAGGAGACCAAATGATCAGATCACTTTTATGTCCTGTAGCTGGGTGTTTTGGCTAAAATTGGGAATCATGGGTCTTCAGACCATGAAAGGTCAGTCGCTCTTCTGCTGGCCTCAGTGGTCGGCTTCCCCTCTCGTCTGCCTCATTCCTGGGGCCCACGTCCTCGCGGATGGTCTGGGCAAGGCCTTGCCATCTACAAGGGCCGGGGGGGGAGGCATCCTACTAGACATGGTTGTTGGGGTCTCAGTAGATCCTTTCCGTCTGCAGGTGGCTCGTAAATTGGTCATCCTGGAAGGCGAGCTGGAGAGGGCCGAGGAGCGTGCCGAGGTGTCTGAACTGTGAGTGGCAGAGCGGGACCGAGAGGGGGCCCAGCTCGGCTTCTGGGGCCAAGTTGGGGGGAGTTGATCATGTAGGGAATTGACCCTCTTTAAGGCCTCTGCTCAAGTGGAATGAGCATCTGGGACTCATAGCTCAGCCCTTCCTCCTTGCCTCCATGGCTGAGAGTCTTTGTTCTTTCTGCCCTGGGAAGCGCTGCCTACATGTTTGCTCTTCCCACAGAGGTGTTGGGAAGTAGACGTGAGACAGACCATAGCAGAGAAGCCCGGAAGTCCCGTTTTCCCAGAGAGGATATCTCAGGAGGCTGCGCCTTCTTAAGAGAACACTTACCTGCGGAAGGCAGGCTTCTCTGTCAGCATTTCTGCCTTGTTCTTCATGTCATTGTTTGCCTGTGACTCATTCCTGGGTGTTTGTGGGGGGTGGGAGGTGAGAAGCTTGACCACAGTCCCGCAAGCTCCGAACACACAAAAAGCCTCTCCCCCTTGGCCTCGGGTGAGGAATCCAGCTCCGAGGAGCATCCCGTGGTGCTGAGAGAGGGGATCCAGTTTCGCAAATCCATTCAGAGTTTGCCTCCTGGAGTGTCGGGTGCAAACTGATTGTCTCCCAACCTCCTGTGCCCCGTTTCATTCTTACACCTTCCGGAGGCAGCCTCATCAATCATAGATTTCACAAGGCCCTGTTGCCTCACCCTTGGCGAGAGCCCAGGAGTGCTTTACGAACCTTCCTAATACTCCTCGGCCTGCTGTGCCTTTGCCAGACACGATAGGGTTTGGATAAGTGCACAGCACTACAGCTCAGAAAGAAGCCGTTAACATTTTTCCCCCGCATTCCTTCCGGGGGCCCTAGGCAGCGTGGATTCCTCTTTTTGAAAGCTTTCAGGGGAATTGCCTGCTCTAAGGGGGGACAGGACATAAATTTCCTTTGTCTCTGCGCAGAAAATGTGGTGACCTGGAAGAAGAGCTCAAGAATGTCACTAACAATCTGAAGTCACTCGAGGCTGCATCTGAAAAGGTTGGTGGTTGGTTTGCGCTGGTGATTAGCTGGACTTACTTTTCTTCCCCATGGTGCATGGGAGTATATGCCCAGGGTGTCGGGGATCTGACCTATATTTGTTAACAGTGGCTTTGGTGCCCAGCAGCAAGGTTTTTCCCCCCACCAAAAAAGAGAGGTCCAGCGGTTAGAGTTCCTTCTTCAGTGGGGTCTTCGCACCATCTTTTATCTCTGCCTTCGAGGAGGGCGGAGAGGGAATGAGATTTGTACCTGGTCAGGCTCCTCTTAAGGAGATCTGAGCCTAACTGTATACAGAGCCTCACTCTCAGATGAATCCCCTGGATCCTCCATAAAATACACTCTAAAAGATCGAGCAGCAGATAGAAGAGGCAGAATTGGGCTTTTTAGGTTGAAATAGTTCCCAAAGCAGTCATTACCAGAGAGAACCATGTTAGGAACAATGCACGCACTCTTCCATAGCCTGCCCTGTGAATTCGCCATCCTCCTCGATTCCTCACTCTCCCCACCTCCTACTGCCCTCCAGTTGCATTGAACATCTAGGTTAGGGGCTTCTCAGCTGTATAGCCCCGCCTACTTCTTTTCCTATCATGATCACATTTGTCATAATTAATTACATGCCTTCCTTGCTCGATGGTAAGTTTTAAGGACAGGGACTGTATCTGTCTTGTTTAGAGCTATGTCATTAGTATTAACAGGGAATCGAGGATATTTGATGAGCGAACGTGGCTTATCACCTGTGCATGCCAAATTAGCTCCTGTGGGCATGGTAAATGCTGTCCTAGGCCAAGGGGTAGATGTTACAGTGATAATATGGCTTCTGCTCTGCAAGGGCTCAGAGTGTAGTTGAGTAGAAGAGACTGACCCAGTAATAAAGTGCTTTGAGACTTCAACAGAGGGACCTTGGAAAGTTGGGGAATGTGTCATGAGGACGTGATGTTTAAAAGGGCTGTAAAGCACAATGGAGGCCAGGAGCTCAAATTCCAGAGTCAGGTTCTGGTCAGTCATGGTGTGGTCACTTCATAGCCATGTGACCCTAAACAAACTACTTAACCTCTCTGACGCTTCTACTCATCTGTAAAATGGGATTGAGGATATCTGGCACCTAGCAAGCAGCTGTAAAGGCTAGCTGATACTAATCTGAGTCGAACCTTGCAAGACAAAAATCCTTTCTGGCAGGTAGTCAATGGGGAAAGGAACATCCCATGCTGCTGGGGGCGGGGGGGGTGGGGGCGCTAAGGCTGGGAGATTGGAGAGTGCACAGAACGCGTTTGAGAACGATGGTGGGAAGCGGGGTGGGAAACATCAATCAGGCCAACTGTGGAGGGCTCCACGTGGCATCATTTCCGTTCAACCATCTGCTCCGTCTTGATCACAGATCCATCTCAAGTTAATCCAGCCCAGGCCTTCAGCTCAGTCCCACCCCAGAGGGCTCCTCTGCGGATTCTCTTGAGTTCTGTGCACATTGCTTCTATCTGGAAAGGTGCTCCCTCCACTTTGCTTCTTAGAAATGTTCATAGTGCTTCATGCACATGCTTTTCTCCAAGGAACAGAGAACCTACATTCTTCTATGCTTTTTTTTTTTTTGCCCCCGCCCCCTTTTTTTTTAAAGTGCTGTTTTGGTTTCTCCCACAGTATTCTGAAAAGGAGGATAAATATGAAGAAGAAATCAAACTTTTGTCCGACAAACTGAAAGAGGTGAGCGCGATCACACCCAGCTAGTTCAGGTTTCTCTCTCGGCTGGGTCTTAAAGCAATCATAGTGACTCCTTTCTTTTCTTCTAGGCTGAGACCCGTGCAGAATTTGCAGAGAGAACGGTTGCAAAACTGGAAAAGACAATTGATGACCTGGAAGGTACGAAACTACCATCTAATTACGTTTGCTCTGCCTCCCCCTTCGTGACAATCTGCTGACAGTTGGGAGGAGTCTCTGGAGGGGCTGAGTTGGGCTTTGTTCATCCTAGGAAAGTTAAGTACAGAGTGACGGCACATCTGGAGGTCTGGGGCACTGGAACAGGACAGTGCAAGTCAAATGTAGACCTGGGTTGCCATTTTTCCAGAAGTAAAAGCTCTCTGCTTAATTGGCTCCACGTGTGAATACAGAGACCCAAATATGGCTGATTTTGTTTTAAAAGTCTTTAGAATGTCCTTCAATTTGCTCATTCCTGAGAGACGCCTTGCATTTTTAAAATGCCTTACATTTTTACAGAAGCTCTCTCCCAGAGAACTCAGAGCTTATCACAGTATGAGAAAAATGAAAATACAGAGAATGTAGAGACTGAATAAAGACTCCAGTCTGAAAGTCTGGTGCCCACATATCCCAGAATCTCTTGAAGAGTTCCCACTTAAAAAAAAAAAAAAAGAAAAAGAATTCTGTCCTGTGTTCGTCATAAAATAAACTGGGAAATTCTAGCATCTTGGGATTCAAACAAAATCTCCTAAAATTATCTGTCTCACCCAGAAAGGGTGCCAAACTTGTTCCTCAGACCATGTGTCCCAGTGTTTGGTTTGGGAGGTGAGGTTTCCATATAAGGGAAAATATCGCATTCCAAAGTATAACCTTTGGACTGGGTGACATCACTGCAAGTCAGAAATAACTTGGGGCGGGAGGTTGGGGGTAGAAGCTGTGTCCATGTCTAGTCCCCCTTTCTTTTAAAGATTCATCATGGCTAATCCCCTGCAGAGCCTCAAGCCACTTAGAAACCACTCCATTGATCTTTTGCTTCCTCATTTGTTTTACATAGGACACAACTTTCTTCTAGTTCATGCTTTGTTTTCTCACTTTTGTTTTCTTCCTCTCATTGTTCATCTGTGGCACTCCATTCCGACCCTCACGTTCTGTTCCCTGTACCTCTTTTTCCAAACTGTCTCCCTGGGGACCTCCGCCCTCTAGACGAGCTATACGCTCAGAAGCTCAAGTACAAAGCTATCAGCGAGGAACTGGACCATGCTCTCAACGACATGACCTCTCTGTGAGAGGGAGCTGGGGTGCTGCCCTCTGTCCTAGCAATACCGAAGTTGGCCTCCTCACTGTGGTGCCTGCACTTCCCGTGGGCTTCTAGAAGCTCGTTTCCTGCCTCCTGGTTTGGTCTTTCAAGCCTTCCTCTGCTGTGTCTGTGACTGTGTGACTGAAATAAAGACAGGCGCTCCTCGTGCCCAGGCCCTCATTTTCATTTTCTTCCCTTGCCGCTTTTGAGCCATAGCTGTTGGTTCCCTTGACCATGGCTACAAGAGAGAGTGGGTGGTTCACATGAAGAGCTCATTTCAAAAGGAAAATGATGCCCACGTGATTGTTTCTGCCTATATGGAAACAAAAGCCAATTTGGCAGGAGCTCTCAAATATGTGCTAGCTAACTATATCTGCATGCCAATAGCAGTTTTTCCTTAAATAGAAATTGTTTTTGAATGGAGACTTATCCAGCCTCTTAAGCAGCTTGATAGAGTCAGCAGAACTTGCAAAAACCGGCAGGCTTGTGTCTAAAAAGAGGCTCCTCTTGAATGGGGTTTGACCTACGGATTCACAAAGCGGCAATGGCATTCTGGTCTCCTTATTCTTCCTTTTCGCATTTGTTTTCTCTGTGTTACACCCTGAGAATGGTGTCCGGGGTTCCCTGTGTCTTCACTGTTCATGGAACATCTACCCAGCCCTTGGTCCTGGGAGGAAGTTCACCAGTGAGCCTCACCTCTAGCCCCTGCCCTTAGAAAACAACTACACAAGGGATGAAAGCACATCCCATTAGCAGGGAAAGGGGGTGGAAGCTGCTGGAAAGCCAGACAGAGAGAGTTCATTCCCGAGTTCCAAAGTTGCCTGAGATGCTAACGTCTGTCTCCTCATACTTAACTCGAATCAGGAACCTTGCTTTGGTTTGGTGAGAACTCTTAAAGTTAGCCTGTGGGTATTAAGAGATCATGCCTGTAGTGACCGAAAGCTCATAGATTTTTCCACAAGAATCCAAATTTTAAATATTTTATCCACTTTTCCCCTGCACCGCCCCCCCCACCACCATAAATCATTCCAGAAACACTGCCATTTTGATGTCCACGCATGTCTTTTAGACTGCCTCTTGAACCTGGGAGCAGCATGAAGATCGCCAATTAGATTAACAATTTTTTTGTCACCATAGCTTATTATTCCTCATCCTATGATTTTATTCAGGTGGGAACTTCTGTCCCAGTTCTTTATGTTCATCCCTCTAAAATCCATCTCCCTTAAACTATTCACACCCTGGGCGCCTGGGTGGCTCAGTTGGTTAAGCGACTGCCTTCGGCTCAGGTCATGATCCTGGAGTCCCGGGATCGAGTCCCGCATCGGGCTCCCTGCTCA